TGGGCCCCGCAAGAGAAGGGAGTTGGTCCCTCATCCCCATGCCATCCCGACCCAGCCATAGGACCTCTGTCTTCGAAGGATTTAGTTTCAATCGGCTCCCACGAAACCATCCAGCCACAGCTTCCAAGCATCTGGTCAGTGTGTTCGGGGCCGAGTCGGTGTGGCCATCCATCAGCAGATAGAGCTGAGTGTCATCAGCATATTGGTGACAGCCCAGCCCAAAGCTCCGGATAATCTGGGCAAGGGGGCGCATAAAGATGTTAAAAAGCATCGGGAAGAGAATTGCGCCCTGCGGCACTCCACACACCAAGGAGTGGCGCGACGACATTTCCTCCCTAGTGCCACCCTCTGTCCCCGACCAGAGATAAAAGAGCACAACCAGTTACGGGCTATGCCCTGTATCCCCACGTCTGCGAGGCGGTGGTCCAGAAGATCATGATCGACCATGTCAAAGGCTGCTGACAAATCTAAAAGGATCAGCAGTCCTGACCCGCCTCGATCCAGTTGTCTACGGAGATCATCTGTTAGGGCAACCAGAGCCGTCTCCGTCCCAAAACCAGGACGGAAACCGGACTGAAATGGATCTAATGCCGATGTTTCCTCCAGAAACCTACCAAGCTGTTCAGCAACCGCTCTCTCAATTACCTTACCCAGGTATGGAAGATTTGAAACTGGGCGGTAATTGGATAGGTCTAAGGGATCTAATGAAGTTTTCTTTAAGAGTGGACACACCACTGCTTCCTTCAGTTCCCCTGGGAATGTCCCCGTGTCAAGGGACAAATTGATAATTTCAACCAGGGGGGTCCGCGCAACATCTGGACACTCCCTAATCAGCCAAGACGGGCACGGATCAAGGAGGCAGGTGGTGGGCCTACCAACTTGGAGGAATCTATCCACATCAGTAGGGAGTATCCGATCGAAATGGTCCAACACTGGACCTGAAGTCAGTCGAGGGGCCTCCAGTTCAGTCACTGTATCTAAATTGGCAGGGAGGTCACGGCGGAGCAACAGGACTTTCTCCGCAAAAAAGCTCGCGAATGCCTCACAGCTGTGGGTCGAATTTGTGCTTAAATTTGGTTGTCCTCCTAAGGACGTTATTGACCTAATTATTCTAAAAAGTTGTGCCGGGCGAGAGCTAGCGGATGCAATGGAAGCTGCAAAGTAAGATTTCTTAGCAGCTTTCATAGCCATCTCATAGGCTTTCATAAGCGTCCTATAAGATGTTCTTGAGGCTCCGTCACGAGTCCGTCGCCATACTCGCTCTAGCCGTCTGAGATCCCGCTTCATTTTCCGGAGCTCCTCAGTAAACCAAGGGGCCCAGTTTCGACGGGGTCGCAGAGGGCGCTTAGGCGCGATCTCATCAATGGCTGCCAAGAGCCGGTTATTCCAGTCCTCAACAAGGTCATCTAATGAGTCGCCAGGAGGAGCAGGGTTCCGCAAGGCTTGTCGGAATCTATCAGGATCCATCAGTTTTCGCGGACGAGCCCAAATAGGTTCGCCACCCGAGCCGGGGAGGAGCGGGAAGTCAATCTTGGCTTTCAGAGCGTAGTGATCAGACCATGGCACTTCCACAGCGGGGAGCATGATCACATCTATGCCAGCCCCAAAGATCAGATCCAGCGTGTGGCCTGCTTGATGAGTGGGGCCCAAAACAAACTGGGAGAGCCCTAGTGTTGCCATGGAAGTCACTAGGTCCAGAGCCTGTGAGGAGGGAGCGGCATCGGCATGGACGTTGAAGTCTCCCAAAACCAGTAGGTTTGGGAACTCCAAGGCCCAGCCCGCCACCACCTCCAGCAGGTCTGACAGGGTGGCTGCAGGTGTGCTGGGTGGTCGGTACACCAGCCAGACAGCCAAGCTCTCCTTGGTGCCCCACACGAGACCAACACATTCAATGCCGGAGATCGCCGGTGATGGCAGAGCTCTGAAAGAGCAATCCTCCCGGAATAACAACGCTACTCCTCCCCCGACCCACAGTCCGCGATTGATGGAGGACAGAGAAACCTGGGGGTGTTATCTCATGTAGGGAGACTACTTCGCCTTCCCGTACCCAGGTCTCCGTCACGCAAGCCAGGTCAATCCCCTGCGAGACAAAAAAGTCACGCATGGTGGCGGTTTTGTTGCCTATGGACCTGGCATTGCACAGCACCAATGACGGAGGTGTGTAATCCTTGCTCTCCCTACCCTCATCCCTTGGGATGGGGCGTAGATTGGAAGGGGTTCGAGGATCACTGCATCTCGAAACCCTTCGCCGATAGAGATATCTAGCCCCACCGCCATTCCTCCCTAGCCCTTCAATTGTGGAAATCCCAGATCCCATACTAGCCTCCCCAATAGATGGGTAACATCCCCTCAATAACAAGTCATCCTTGGGCCAGGACTCCTGGGTCAAAATGGTATGGGAAAGAGGTGGAGGTCTGATAGGGTAAGTATCCCTAGAAGATAAAACCCAACCAACCGCACCCCAAGCGGGGGGGACAGTCCCATGGTGTTTCATTAACTGTCAATCCCCTCTCCCTCCTGGGTTAATTGGAGGATTGTTGGTTCTATCTGTGGCTGTGGAAGTATTAATGAGGTATGTGTTATAAAATGTGGATCACTGGCCAACAAAGAGCCAGATTCGAATTCGAAAGATCTGTCCATCCTGTCTCGCCAGGAGTACAGTAGAGAAGGCTGATCATTCTGATAAGTTTTTGGAACATTAGGCAAAGGTCCAGATGTAGATTTGGTGCTGGATATCTCCAGATTGTCAGCAACATAGAGTTCTTTAGGTGTTGTTGCCATAGAAATGTCGGAGGCGCCAAATTCCTCATCTAATTTGGTGTCATTTGAAAAGGGAACGGGGAGTTGCACTGATGTTTTTCTATGGGATAAAGAGCTGTTGGACGTCTTTAAATATTGTGCTCTAGGCTCTACTGTCCTTATATTTTGGGTAGAAATCTCAGTCTTTATACTCATTAGCCTCTTCTTCAGGTCTTGTAATTCTAGGCTTACAAAGTTCTTTTCTTCCTTCGGGCAATTAGTATTTCTAGTGTTGAGCTTGGTTTCCTTTATCCGCATTAGCTTTGACTCTATGCAAGGGACCAATTGCCTCCTAGTTTCGTCCTTAAATACCCTCACTGGGCGGAGAGAATGGAACCACCATAGGGTATCCTTTATCTCCATGAGTCGAGATGGGAGGGTTGATGACCTAAAGGTCATAAATAGGCGCATGGTGTTTCTCAAGGTAGGCAGGAAGTGGAAATTTTCTAGATCTACATTTCGGTAATGGTAATTCAGGAGCTGAGACAAGGACATAGTAATTTGTCTGCGGTTCATCCACCTATGAGTGTATCGGTGAATCTCAAGCATTATCTGGTTCGTTTGCAAGACTTGACAGGACCTCACTTCATCCATAGTTTGAGTTGGTGAGTTATTAACAGAGTCATTTCTTATCATCCCTTTAAGCCCTTGGGCATTTAAAGGGGAGAAACTAGTATCCAATTGTTTCTCAATGTTAACTATTCTAGTGAGGATTTCATCCAGTCTTTGGAGAACCAGAACCATAGTTTCTGCAGACAACATGCAAATCTCTTGGTAGGGGTGCGTATCCCGAATTGGTTGAAAGCAGGCTCCTCTGATATCTTGTTCTAGAGGCATGGGTGGGTCAGCGTTAGGAGTGGGAGGAATCCCTCCTGCTCCTGCTCTTGCCCTCTTGGACGCATTAGCTTTTTCTGGGAGGAGGGGGGTCGGGTCATTGACATCCTCCTTAAGGGGGGGGGGTGAGGTTCCCCCAACGTTGTTACTCACTGTTTTTTCTATTTGCTCCGTTTTCTCGGTTTCCTCAACCCGCTCTATTTCTGAGCCAGGGCAGATGGCATTGGCTCTCTGCCGATTCTTTGTTTTAGAGGAATTGTGAGTCTCAATAATGGTCTTCTGGCTCTTTGCACCTTGTTTTCTCCTTCCGGCAGGCATTCTCAATAAGGAAGTGAGAGTTGGAGGAGTGTCACTCCAGTGAGGAGTGACAGTTGGAGAACTAGGCCTCAAACCTTCCAGCGTAAAAGAGCAGGTTTTAGCAGGGAAAGCCACACCTCTCCTTGAACACACTCAGAGGTGGATATTTAAAGCACAGCCTGGAAAGAACAGGGCAAAATTTAAGTGTGGATAAGCCCTTAGATTTAAAAAGAAGGAGATGTTCCTGCCTCTCTCATGGCGTTCAACCCTTCTGGACTGCCCTCGGAATGTAGAATTAGGACAGATAAACAAGAGTATGTCTTCACACTACACATAGCTAAACTATGGGAGGCACTGATTATCACCAACTTAGATTGCTTTCATGGAGTTGGAGGTTATCAATGGCTACTCACCTGCTTCAGGATTTGTCACAGTTATCTTGATGACCACTGTGAGAACAGGATGCTGGACTGGATAGGTTGGCCTGACCTAGCAGACAAATCTTACTTTCTTTTTTCCTAACTTATTTTGATATGCTTCATCATCTATCTTGCACCTGGTCATCGCCAATAGGGTGATCAACAAGGTGGAAGTACTGGGAACCTTGGGAGGAAGTGATCATGTCCTCTTGATTTTCATGATACAGAGGCAAAGGAAAGCTGAGTGTAGTTGGTCATGCACTCTGGGGACCCTAAGAAGGCTGATTTCAAAAATCATAAGAAACTGCTGGGTGTGATTCCATGGTCAGAAACTTTCAAAAGAGAAGGGAGTTCAAGGTGGATGGGAGTTTCTTAAAGGTGAGATACTGAAGGCACAGAGGCAGACAAGAAAGAAAAGTGGGAGGCATCTAAAAATACCAGTGTGAGTTGCACAGGGGTAGCTAATGAGATGCCCTCCAAATGTTGTGAACTACACTTCCCAATAACCCCAACCAGCATGGCCCCAGCCAACCACTCAAGGATGATGGGAGTTTTAGTCTACAACATTTAGAGGGCACCACATGGTCTACCCCTGGGATAGGTTATAATTTTGACCAGCTGGTGCTTATAAAATCGAGATGAAACTGGAGCATGGTGGAACACAATGAATGTGGGAAGGAAGGGTGGATGCAAGGGAAGGGAAGGAGAACATCCTTATTCCTGTAAATTGGCTATGCTGCATAACAAGATCTGTAGTTGTATAAGAACAAGAACATTAGAAAGCTCAGCTGGACCAAGGCAACATTCCATACTTTTCTCACAGTGGCCAATGAGATGCCTAAAGAGAGACTATTTCCATGCTAATTTAATATAGGGTTTAAATATATATGACCTTCCAGTACTGCTGACCATTCAGTTGATGAGTTAAGAGCTTTCTTTCTTTCTTTCTTTCTTTCCTTCCTTCCTTCCTTCTTTCTTAAGACTGAATTTGCATCTGAGGTGGGAGGAAAAGTGTTGGAATAAACTCAAGAAACCCTTCACTCTCCACTCAACTTCTAGGTAAAGTAACCTCATGAATGTAGCCTTGTGGTATGTCAGGTTTCTCTACCTTACAGTAAGTATTATGTCAATTTGACCTAGGCCCATTTTGGATCCACTCCCAATTTTACACTTAGCAAGTATATATTGTAATTAAAAGAGTTGTCCTCAAAGGGCAGCAGACTCTCAACATATGTGCAGCCGGCTGGCTTCAGAAAATCCCAACAGCTGTGAAATAAATGCTATTTCCAGAGTTGTTTAGTGGAGGTCACACAGAGAAGGGAATCTGAGTGAGAGCTGTTTTACATTTCCTTCATCTGCAGGTTTACAAGGTCTTTTGCCTTCCGACTCTACATTTGCCAGCATCAGCCTAGATCCCAAAGAGGGAATTTATCAAAGAAGCATACCAACAAAACAAGCAAGGCAAAACAAAACAAGCTTTATTTTACAAGAGAAATAAACTAGCAGGGTGAGGTCAGTGCTGAACGAAAATGGCAGGAGTTAAGAAAAGGCGGGCCTAATGAGTTAGCTGAACATAAGGCAGAATGTCGACATATCCCCTGACAGGGACCATTCAGCATCAGCAATTTGAAGCCAGCAGGCCAAATCCAGGTCCCTGAAGATTACCAGCTGTTCCTGTAGTCGTCAACTCAAGAACAAGAGAATGTTGTGAAGAAAGTTCTAACTCTGATAATAGGACTTGCTAGCAAACTTATTTGGGGTAATAGAATATCAGTTCTATGACATTCCTTTGAGTTGCTCTCCCATAAAGTTAGGGTGGGGAATGGGCATGATCCCCAGTACTTCTCTGGAGGAATGTCACCTGAACACTTAAAATAAACATAAATGCTGATGAGATTTGCAAGTAAGGCGAGTATGGAGAGTATGACAATATTTGTTCATGATAGTTGCATTTGCAAGGACTGGATTGTATGAGCCGTGCAGAGCAAACATAGAGAAACAGAAACAGCAGTGTTTGTATACGTGTCAAGAACAGTCATGGAATACAGTTATTGACACATGCACAAAATGGAGGGTGGTGCCCAGAAATCATGTGGCACAGAACAGATGAGGTAACCATCAAAAAGATTTTCCCTGAGCTGTTTGAGATCACCTGAAGTGATGAACATCAACAAGTGCTGCTGGGAACACTGGTGGCTATGATGAATTTAAATGCAAAACTCTCCAATGTTGTTCACGGAATCACTGTTTGGAGGGAAAGCAATTTTAACTCAGAGTTTACGCATATAAAAGCACTGTGCTTGCCTCTGCATCTTGTGGAGAATGGGAATTACAAAGAGTAAAAACTTTCTCCAAGCCTCTGGCTGCATGCACCACACAATGTGCAAGCAAGGCAGACCTATATTTGTGGAGACTCCCAGTAAAATCTGCATTTTCCCCTGCCCTCATGAAATAGTGATGCTGTGAACAACATTAGAGAACTTAACATTTTAAATTATACATAAATGTGGCGTTCCAGCTGTGCCTGGAAATAAATGTGGCTAATGTAAATACAGGCACTAATGGGGATTAATGATTTAAAGGTTTCCTTTGGTAAAGAATACTTCACTGGCACTGGGTATGTTTTCGGCTAGGAATTTTCCTCTTCCCCTCACGCCTCCCTCTGTCCCACCTCATTGTGTCTCGCTCTCCTCTCCAAGGGATTAGTGTCTCTGTCCCCATTTTGCTAAGAATGAATTCACTCTTTGGCACAGGTCCCCCCCCCCTTCCTGCTCCTTCCACTTCTGTCTCCAAACGGTAAGTCTGCTTTGTACTTCCCTCCTTTCCACCCACCTGATGAATCCACCTCTTTATACCCTGCTCTTTAACTAAAGGAATGTGTACATATTTGGGTATTTGTGTGAGTAGCTTTTGTAGAAGAGCACTTGACTTTAATTTAGGGACGCTGGAGGAAATTGATCTTTGTGAATCAAAATATGCATTTTGAGAGAAAGTATGCATCGAAACACATTTTGAGCTACACATTTTGAGCAGTTGGGGTTTTTTAAATAGATTAATGCAGAATCTGTGAGTACTGTCCCCTTGGTCATAAACTGGTAAGGGTGGCTAACTCTCCCCCCCCCACACACACACACACTGTAAAGTGCAAAGAGTTGAAGGTGGAAGGGTGCTGCAGTTTCCCACTTCCTCTTTCAGCCCCAATTGCTTTTCATTTCACTTTTAATTTGTATACCACCTTTCTATACTACTATATACAAGACAATTTACAAGCTGGGGGGGGGGACAGCAAAATAGACAACAAAGAATACACATGTAATAACAATCTGATCCAATACAAAAAAAGTCACAATAACTTTATAAAATAAATGTTGTTGTTTAGTTGTTTAGTCGTGTCCGACTCTTCGTGACCCCATGGACCAGAGCACGCCAGGCACTTCTGTCTTCCACTGCCTCCCGCAGTTTGGTCAAACTCATGCTGGTAGCTTCGAGAACACTGTCCAACCATCTCGTCTTCTGGCGTCCCCTTCTCCTTGTGCCCTCCATCTTTCCCAACATCAGGGTCTTTTCCAGGGAGTCTTCTCTTCTCTTCTCATGAGGTGGCCAAAGTATTGGAGCCTCAGCTTCACGATCTGTCCTTCCAGTGAGCACTCAGGGCTGATTTCCTTCAGAATGGATAGGTTTGATCTTCTTGCAGTCCATGGGTCTCTCAAGAGTCTCCTCCAGCACAATTCAAAAGCATCAATTCTTCAGCAATCAGCCTTCTTTATGGTCCAGCTCTCACTTCCATACATCACTACTGGGAAAACCATAGCTTTAACTATACGGACCTTTGTTGGCAAGGTCATGTCTCTGCTTTTTAAGATGCTGTCTAGGTTTGTCATTGCTTATAAAATAAATAACTTTGCTTATAAAATTGCTTATAAAATAAATAACTTATATCAAATAAAGCAATTATTCAATCATCCATTTGAATTTCATGGCTCAGATTAATTCTATTGAGCCAACTGTTGCCCTGACCCCTCAGAAAAGCAAAGGCTCTCTATGTGTGCATGCTCTCTCTTTCTGTCTCTCTGTGAGGAGACTGATCCAGGGAAGAAAGTGACCAGAGGGGCTAAAGCCCACAGCTCTTGCTCAAAAATCCAAACATGTCCATGGACCTTAAAAAGGTTGGCAATCCCTGGCCTTGTTAAGGGCCCCAATGAGCATAAGACCACTGTCATATTTCACCCTGGCCCATTTATTTAGATGGGACCATTGTGAAGCACAGCCACAGATAACCTATTAGTGGCAGTGCCATTGTTTGGTGACCGCACAGAAAGTAAAGTGGAGGCAGATCACATTGTGCAGTTGCAGCAACCCAACAGCTCCTCCATGGCAATGGCAAAGGACACCACCTGTGTACAGAACTAGGCTAGATCTACACAGCTATTTAAAAAAAACGCTCTGGAGAAAAAAAAACCATTGTAAATCTAGCAATTGCCATCTGGTGTCACAGTGTTATAACACATTTGTAATGCTGTATTTTGACTAATGTCTCTGAGTCCCTAGTATCTGTGGCTACTTCCAAGAATTTCACCTCAAATTTTGTGTACCGCAGGTGCTGCACATTTCACACAGCACGCTGAGCATTGTGGTCAAATAAACTTCATTGCTACTATAAGGGGTTTTTTCATGTTAAAATAGTGCTGCTGGATCAGAGCTCATCCATCTGGTCGAGAATCTTGTTTCCAATCAGAGCAAGATAATTCCCTCTGGGGAAACCTACAAGTAAGGCATTTAGATGAGGGTTCTTACCTGTTGTCTGTCCCTGAGTAGCACACACATACACAAGATAGCACATTTATTGCTGTTCTAATTGCTGCATGGCATGTGGTTGCACAAAGGTCACAGCCACCTACTGGATATTGTTTGCAAAGCTATTAGCAAGGAGTGATATAATTCCCTGCCAATTTGGTAAATTATTTCTAAATTCTCTGTATAATAATACAGTATTCAGCATTTCTCCAGAACCTTTCCTCAACGTTCCGTGTGAGTCACTTGGGTTGTCTCTCATTCTTCCAATATTTCCAATACTTCCAATATTTCTGTGTATTGTAGACATTGCTTCATTATTTAAAGTTTTCTTAAACTTCCCTTAGATGAAAAAAGTTCAAGAGTGATCAGTAGAAGATGGTATCCCAGAGGGCAGGAACTAACCAAAAGACGATGCAAAAGGAAAAGGGATTGAGAGGTGGGAGGAAAAAAGCAAACTAGCAGCAAAATTCTAGCAATGTCTCTTTAAAAGTAACTCCTCTTGAATTAAGTGGTGATTTATCCCAGGGAAGAGGAGTCAGGATTGCTGCCTAAGGCACAAGCTTTTAATTACAAAGTCCTTGTAAATGTTCTTTCTGGAAGGGATGGAGGGAAGCAAGCAAGTTCCCTGCAGCTGCTCCTTCTCTCTCCAATGGATGGGGCAGGTTGATCTCCCCCTTGTCCTGATGTTCATCCTATGAGGCAGTTGGATAAATGATTTTTTTAAAGAGAAATGTATGTCTTGCCACTCCGTCATGCAAATGCCCTCAATCTTCAGAAGCCACAGGGAGAGTTTACCTCATGCAACAGGGCCAAATATGTTTCTTTGTCCTTCAGATGAGAATCCCTTCCACTCTAGGGGGTCAGGGGAATTTTCCCCATTTGTTTCAAGTGACATGTATTTCCTGACCTGTCCTTAATTTCACTTCGAATTCATTTCCACCTTGTCTCCCTCCCTCCCCAGCTCCTCACAATATTCCACCCACAAAGCCTGGTAAACACCAACCTCTCAGTCACAAAAATACTTCAGCAAGAGAGTGTGACTCCATCAAGGCTTAATAACCTTTCTCCCAGCAAGAATAATGGAACAGTGCCCTTCCAGAAGCTGTTTCTCTCAATTTGTATTAAAAGGTATTCCTCAGAGCTGTCAGGCCACTCATTTCTCCATTGGGCTTGGGGGAGAAGCTGTGAACAGTGGGTAGTTCGGAAGGGATCCAAGCAAAGGAGACATGCATTTGACACCATGACCCAGGTGCCCTGTCACAATCATGGAAACCAAGCGTAATCTAAGCGGTGCTATTAGGGGATACATGACCAGGTTGCCTCCAGCCACTTGCAAGATAACTGCTTTGTAGACTTCAATATACCTGGGGAGAATTAGATTTTTCTAAGCCAATGATTGGATTTTTCTTCTCGCTTTCCCCTTTGCTTCATTCCACCCACTCTCATGCAAGCAATTTTTGTGTACCAGGTAAGGGACATTGTGCTACATTTGCCAGAGGCTGGACAAGCTATAAACTCTGGTATCATTTATACCAGTCCCCTCTTTTTTTCCCCCCTGAAAAGAAAGTCTGAGTTATTTTTAACTGTGGCTCTAAGCCAGTAAGCTTCATGAGCAGGCAAGGATTTATCGACTGGTAGTGCAGAAGGAGCGGAACACGCGGCTATAATTAACTTGAAATGTGTTCACATGTTAAGGATTCTGCAGGTTTTCTGCTTGCTTGGAAAACCTACAGGTGAACAAGGAGAGTGAGAGCAAGCACACAATGCTCTGCCCCACATTGACATCCCAGTCACCACCAACAGTGAAGTTCTGGAACATTGAGCCTCCTGCACTCAGATAGGATTCCCATGGGACCTAGAAACCCAGTTATACAGGGTGTCAATAATGTGAGGAGCCTCCACAGTCACAGGAGGCCTCATGCTTCAAAGCGTCACTGTCCTCAGTTCGGTTCTCTTGTCCCTTCTCTCCCTGATCATGACATGATAGAAGTTTATAAAATTAAGTATGGCATGGAGAAAGTGGATAGAGAAAAGCATCTCTCCCTTTCTCATATTACATGGGCATGCTGAGGATAGAACCCAGGATCTTCTGCATGCAAAGCAGATGCTGTAGCAGTGGGCTAAAGCCTTTCCCCAAGTTTCTATCTGTTCCAGTGTTCTGTTTCTGGCCAGATACCTCTGAGAAGCTTACAGCAGAGCATGAAATCAACAGCCTCTCACTCATTGCATCTCATATTCACAGAATTGTAGAGTTGGAAGGGACGCTGAGGATCATCTAGTCTAACCCCCAGCAATGCAGGAATATGCAGCTGTCCCATATGGAGATTGAACCTGCAACCTTGGCATCATCAGCACCACTCTCTAACCAACTGAGCTATTGCCTCTGAACATGGAGGTTGCACTTTCCAAGAATGTTATCCTGCAATGACTTATCCCCTCACTCTTCTACATGCATGCACACCACCTGCCTGCTAAACTGAAGGGAGCTGATGAGCACTGCAGAGCACAAAGCGCATTTTGCTCCTCTCCATCCATCTTATTACTGCTAATTCGGACAGGGTTGTAGTGCGCTGTCATCATCTGGAAGAAGCTGGCTGATACGGCAGCCACTGAGCACAGTGTGACACTGGCTGATTAATTTTTCATCATCTCAGCATTTATAAATCCTCTCCTCACTGCGAGTTAGTTAAATCTTAAACTTTTCCCACAAGGTACCAAGTAAGAATAAATGGCTACATGTCTAGCACTCCTTGCCTGAGGGCAAGGCCTCTTTGGTCATGGCTATTACCGCTGAAAAGACATGGTGTGCTCTGGCTGTTCTTTGTGATGTTCGAGTTAAACAGCCTGCTAAAAATACATAATTAGAAACAAATAAGCCAGCTTAGTATAGCCCCTGATACACGCCAGGGATTCAAAGGTGTTTAAAATAGTCTGGGTACACCAAAGGTCATTCTGAAGCAGAGCCAGCAGGATGCCAGCCTTCCTTTAATGAAGCCTTTTAGTTACCATGGGGACGTCACCGCTAAATCCCACA